TTGGGTGTTGAACCATTAAATTAGAGCTTGTAGATGCATTTTCAAAACTATGGGAATTTTACATTTGCTTCTTTTGTTTTTAAAGAACAATTTTCTTAATTTCCTTAAATCGGCTCTGTGGCGTTGTGATTAACACATTTGCTTTACATGCAAAAGATTGATGGTGGAAGGGTAAGAAGAGTTAGGGTTAGGATTAGCATAAAGTGCTTTTACAGATCCTTAAATGTACAATATGTAGAAACTCCACTGATCATGAAAGTAATGCTGCTCTACTAATGCTTAGATAGACGCTGGGTGAACAGTGGCGGTTTCCATAAGCCCTATTATTTCTTAAGTTTAACCATATTCTTAAAAGTAACAGAAGAGTCACAGCTGACCTCTAATACCTGCATATTCATTGAGAATTCAGGGCAAATTGCCTGTGTCATCATAGTAAAATATGAGACAGAATAAATGGGGTGTAAAAAGCAATGAAATTAACAACCATAAACATCTTGTTAAAGCCTCCAGGCTGTTTTCTAGCAGTAAGTGCCAATAAAAGAATACAAGAATGCAGCATCTGTCCTAGTTTTGTTTCTCCTGTGTTCGTATTCCACTTCAGCTTGAGTTTGTCAGAAGTCACTGCACACAAGTGGATCCAAAAGTGTGTTTTTGAATGAGCCGTTTGAGCAGATGGAGAGAGGACAGTCATCCTTTTTGTGCTATTTCTGCCCAAACCACAAAGCCAGAAGTCATAACATAACACCACCTCCTCTGTGGTGGTGTCGTTGGTGTAGCCTTAAGCTTCCTGTGCATGAGCATGAGAAAATCTCAGAAAACTGAAATATTCAGAAACAAAACCTGGTGTTGTTTTCATGTGCTATTCACTCGCATTAAAGAGAATTCAATTATCACAGTATTTAGGTCATACAGTTTATTAGTCTCCCGGGGGATGGCTGTAGCCATCTTCCGTTTAAGTACCACCATAACTGCCTAAAGCTAAATTCATCACTTCACACCTGCTCCAGCTGCATTTGCACAGAGAGACGAATGCACTGCGCATCATCCCGAGTGATTTGGAGCACGCTCTGAATGGTTTTATGACCAGCCATGATGCAACTAATCAGGAGCTCAATTTGCAAAAAAAAGACTTTTTTTTAGGATGAAAAAAAAATCTGAAGGTTTCCTGTTCCACGAGACAAACTACAACAAATCTAGAAGCAGCTACTCCAACAGCACATCATCACAACGATCAAATGCATCATCTTCACGACTCAGATATGCTTACATTTTGTAAATTTTGGCTTTTTGTGTGCGCTTTTTTTGCCGTGTTAAATGGTTCATTCAGAAGGATTTTGGTTTACATAATTTTTCTACTGAATGCCCAGCTGCTTTCCTGTTGGGTGATGTCAGCTGCTCTTGCTAAATGTCTTTAATAAAATGTCCCACAATTAAAGTCTAACTTGTGGACATCCACTTTTTAACCTTTTGTTAAACAATAAAGGTAGAAGTCAAAGTATTATTCTTTATCAGAGCAAATAGCCCTTACAGGTTACCCTAGCTTATTAAAACAAGCTTTCCTTGGAGCCTGCTGTCCAGGCAACTAAGGTGCCACGATCAATAGGGAGCTACCGTTAGCATGTGGGACTGATAGGACACTCAGGTTTCTTCATATCAGAGTAAGCATGGCAGACACCTGGATGATTTTGAGGTAGTACTGGGCGGGTCCTCTCATCCACATCGGCTCCAAATTTGGAGGGGTGGCCATGCACATGAGCTCAGTTAACCTTCGTATAGCTAAGGCACTGAGTCTGAGTTAGCTTTTACACAGAAGTCAGTGCATTTTAGTGTCAATCCTGTAAATTATAAGTGCAAAGGTGTATTTTATTCTTTAGTAAACAGACATTTCCTTTTTTTAACGATGGTTTAAAATAATTTAGTGACGATTCTGGTGGTTTTACTTTGGGTTAAGGCTAATAATCTTTTTCTCTCTTTTTGTGGTGACATAAAGTATATTACTGCAGGCGTTCTTCTCCAGGCTGGATCAGTAAGGATGCTATTATTACTTCAAGCAGAACATAAAAGGAACGTGGAGAAAGGAGGGCGAGAACTACAATGTGCTGCTACCTTGCCTGAAATACACTCGTGCATGTGTGTCTGTTTATTCCCTGCCTCCCTTTAGTTGTAATAACAGCACTGACTCATTGGCCACTAACATCACTTCTTCTCTGATCATCTGCAAAACACCACAGAGCAGCAGTGACTGGCTATCTGCAGGCCACCACCTCGGATGTCAGCACCTCTCTGCTTCTTTTTTGGCACTTCACAGAGCTGATCGTTAGGCGAAAGGTTTGATTTCAAAGGTGAACCGAACCGAGGCAGTGAAAGCAGTGGTCGCAAACAGATCCCATCTGCAAGGGTGCTTTGAAAACAGATGGCAGCATTAAGGATAAAGCTTGGATGTAATTCTAAGCTGCTCCAGAGTTGCTTTAGGATCATGTCTTCTTATTTGGGATATTAAAAACATTATTAAGTCAATAAAGAAAACATGAGACAGTTCTATGGCAAACTTTGTCTGTGCATGTACTGTAAACACAGAATACGAGGGAGCTCTTGCATTTTCTAACATAAAAACTGCAATTAAACCTTTATCACCACTATCATCTACAATCAAAAGAAAACATGCAGAAAACTGAAAAATCCAACTTCTTGAGGTTAAACGATCCAAACTTCAACATCATCTGTAGGCCATCTGAAGCACTGATTCTTAACTGATACTCAGTTGAGCTGTGGGCTAAGTAACCACATATGATGAGATCCATTTCAATGAGTGATGTGAGCAAAATTTACCCTGTCACATTCTGTTAATCCTCGACTCCCAGCGAGCCCAAAATGAGAAAAGTGTAAAGTGCTCATGTAAATGACTTAAGATCAAGCCCATCTTGATTGTGACTCTTTTATTTTAAATATACAGGATCTGGAAATTACACTGCGCTGATATTACTCTTATGATGTTACGGCTCCCTAGCTGGAATAAGTAAGAAAGTCTGTGCTAAAAATCCAGCTGAGAAATTCATCCAGGGCACATTAAGCTTATGCCTTTGGCTTCTTCTGTGCTTCATATGATTGTAAAATACTGGACTCCATTCAGAAGTCTGAGTGAGTTACATGTTATGCATTTTGCAGGACTTTTTGTGTAACATAATTTTGCACAAATTAAGAAAAACAGCAAACCCTATTTATTTAAAATAACATATAGTACTGCACAAAAATCTCAAACTAGCCCTCGTTTCTTTATAGTTTATTAGGAAAATGACAAATAGGTGCAAGCATTTAATTAAAACATGCGACATGCACGATAATACAACATAAAACACCAAATTCTGACATTGTCTTAAGCAGCTTAACAAGCAAATGAAAATGATAAGATACAAGACTTTTGCACAGTACTGTAAATGACTTTTTGTTTGTTTAAAAGAAACTGGGGACTTTGTGATGTACAATAACAGCCAGCTGCCAGCGTAGCAGGAGTAAACCATGAAGACAGGAGGCTGACTAAAAGAACGACTTAAGACAAAAACCACGCATCCAGCAATGCCAGACATTCCTCGGTTTCATTTTGAGTATTAGCTTGTGGTTTGTGTTACAGTGACACAAACATGCTGTCAGGTCGGGATTGCTGTGGATCAAATCCCTTCGGTGCAACTGGGTTCGCCTGCGGGTGCGGCACTGCCTGCCGCTCCCAGGAGTAGTTACTGTGCAATACGAGCTTGTCTACATAATGACAACAACAACAGCAGCTTTTCCCATGATGACGCCTTCTCAGGAACTAACTGTCATTTCTCATACTAAAAATCAAATAAAGTACTACTAATGCTTGGGCTGTGCTTCTGGTTTACAGCTGTAGTATATTACTATCGTGTGCAGTCTTTTGGAGTCTACATATCACACTCTACATAGAGTGTGATCCACCTAAGACTGATCGGGTGATTGAATTATGGAGTAAAGTAATAATATGCCCAAATTTGATATGTAGCCACCTCACGACTAATGCGTAGAATTGCCTTTTAGAAAATAAGTTTCCTTTAACACTGCTGTGCTCAGTCCGTCTGGCACGCTGTCTAAGATGACTGATTTGATTTTGCTCCAAACTGGCGGCTGCTCTGTGATGTTTCATTACAAGCTGCACCTCTACGTCAAACATCAAACTCCGCCGACGCAGTTGCAGCTCCAGAAATTCCACATATGGAGTTTTTCCCATAGTTATCATCTACATTAGATTGACAGGTTATGCCTTCGAGTCAAATGAAAAATGAATACTCAGCTTGTTATGTTTGTCCAGGCGTACTGATTTGATAAGCACCGGATAATTTACTGTGTCTCGCCTGATAGTTAACATGATGTACGGCGGAGGGAAGAGGAACGAGACAGAGACAGATGACAGCAAGAACAGATGTGTCTTAAATGGTTTGGTGAGGACACTCATAAGGATAATGGGATTAAAAAATGCATAGGGATTTTTTTTTTTTTAAAGATGAGTATTTAGGTGATTTAGGTACATTAATTTTTTTTTTAATTTAATATATTCCATTTGAAATAAATTATATTCAGGTTGCTTTTAAAAACTGTTTAAAGGGAGACTTTTGTGTACATTTTTACTTCTACTGTATATTTTTCTCCTAGGACTCCACTGGAACACATTTGCATTAGTCACAGTTTTAGCTCCTGCCTCTTTAAGGCCACCCCTCCCTTAAAGCACAGTTTAATCTGATTGGTAGCTCCTCACCTGGCTTTCACAAACAGAATCCAGTGCTAGCAAGCTAGACCTCCTTATCTCACCTGAAATGACCATAGAAGGAGACCTACAATGAGCAGATTGAGCTGAAAACTGATTGATTAGATCAGTTTAGAGGGTTTACTTTGTTACAGTACAAATACGAAAAAGAAAATCAGGTTAAAGCTTCCCCACTTACGTTATTTTAGATTGCTTTAAGAAAACCATGAAATCAAAAGAAACTCACCCTGGCGAAGTGCTCGGGGTCTCTCAGAAAGACCGTCCTCTCCTTGGCGATGCTGTTGCTGTGGTAGAAGTCCACCAGCTCGTTCAGAGAGGAGAACGCCTCGTCCCACACGTAGTACTGACTACAGCGATCCTGCAGTACCTTGAAATGCTGAACATGATCCCCATAACTGCAAAGCAGGTAAACAAAGAGATGCAAACGATCATAAAACTGAGTATCTATGAGGATATGTGCTTCCTCGCAGTAGCATACCTTAACTAATGAGTTCCATTTTTTTGCCATTTTGTTAACTAACACAAAAAAAATACAAAATCGTGAGAAAATCCTTATTTTGTTCCTCTTGATAAATCTTAATTTTGCTCATTTCTTTCTCCCCTGGTCATCCACAACACCACCCTGCAGTGGCTCCATGCTCACAAACACTGAGAATCACTGCCATAGCCAGTTTCCCTTTATTGGATTAAACTGGAAATGAAATCTATAAAACACACTGGGCAAAATTCCCAAATCTCATTAAAAGTTTGAATATTTACTATTGTTTATATGGGACAAATTGCATATATATATATATCTGCAACAACACGGGTCATTTACTCTCAGAAATAATTTGGAAACAAAACGGTGACTTGTTAACTGTGTTGACGGTGCTTGGGCTCAATTTAAGGTCTATTGTAGGAATCATGGCTGAATAATCCTGCTTTTTAATCATGTACTCTATTGTCAATCACAAGGTCTCTTTATTTTTCTTTTAGTTTATTTCTTTTTGTCTTACAGTACATCTGGACCAACTATTTCTTAATAGTCTTAATGTTTAGCCTGCAAAGCCTCCTCCCAGATGTCAGCTGCTGATTGGACAATGGATTTAGTGCATTTCAATTTGCCTCTAAAATCAGCGGAGTGACCTCTGCTTGGTATTATACGTATAAGCAAGAGAAACGCTTGAGATTACAAGTCTCTTCCGTAAGAGTGTCGTGTCCTCGCACAGGCAGAATTAACCTGGTGTGTTTTTCATTTTGAGCCGGAAGCTGTGCCCGAGTCCAAACCCAGGACCCTGGGTTGACTTAAAGCTGTTGAAATAATGTGAAAACAGACAAGCTGTTACAAAGAGAAACCCAAACTACTGTGGAAATATCTAACACAGTCAGTTTCTCAGAATTCATAAAAGCAGACAATGACATTTTCACAGACTGCTCTGTGAGTCTCATGTCAAATAAACCCAATACCCTTTAAATTTAAATAAATGTGGTTTAGATGCTTTGTAGCACAAAATCAGCAACGTTTTTAGACAGATTCTGATCAAAGCCAAGCAAAGCAAATGACAAAAAATAATAAAATAAAGCCATAAGTGACACAAACAAAAATAGCCTAGGTGTTGACGAGCTTTGCCTTGTTGTTATAATTAGAAGAGTTTGGCCAGCATTCATTGACAATCATACCTGCTCCCCTTGTCCTGGTCTGTGGTGGTTGCTAAGTAACTTCTCAGCTTATCTTTAGAAATCTGGACATCTCACCGTGATTACATGGTTACATAACTGCGTCTAACATGCAGCGGAAATCAGTGCAACACCCCCATATTTCTAAACACATCGCAGAGTAGGTGTGTGTGTTAATGTTATGTTAATGATTGCTAAAATATCACGTCGGTGGTTAAAGAGAGAGCCAACATTCTCTGTCCCGTTTCTCTTCTAGCGCAGCGTCATCGGTGTGGATGGAAATACCGCCATTGAATGATGCATCCTAATAAGCGAAAAAGCACAATGTGGGATCTCTTTTTGGGGGGATTTGTGGTTTAACCTTGCTCGGCTCCTTCTGAATCGCGTCTGATTGGCCGTGCTCCAGGCTCGCGGAAAGTAAATGAGCATCGGCTTTTTTTCACCCAGAATTCCTTTCTCTATTCAGACACTGTGCTCCTGTGAACAAGCAGAGCTGGCTCCCTTATGACTGGATGGCATTCAGCTACACCTCCACCCTGCCCTTCTTTCTCTGCCTCCTCTTTTTCTCCAGCCTGTGTGTCCTTGTTTCTCTCCTCTCACGATCTGACTCCCAAAACTGAGGATTTTATTTTGCAGGAATATTAAATTAATCAAATGTGTCTTTCTAAAATGACAGCCTACCAGCATGTGAATATTAACTCATTCTGTATGACCAACAGTGCTTTTATTTTGCCCACAGGTCTGGCTGGCTTCAGCTATTTTGGTACCCTGTGCGAGGGTTTGAGGTTTGGTGAATAAACTCTGAGGAAAATTTCTGAACAGCCAGAAGCAACAAACACAACTTCACCTTGAATTAATGTTTAATCGGGTCTTAATTACATTTAATTTCGGTGACTCTTACAAACAGATCTGTCTGTGCCCCTGTGGCAACACACGAACACTGTGTTTTAAGCTGTAGTGTTCCTAGACCAATGCTGGGGTGGTAATGTTCATGAATTGCTACTTAAAGGCCACAATCACCTCTTAATCTCAGTTCTTTCTAACTTTTCTCTCTTTATCTCACTTTGTCTCCATTGCCTTTCTTAATTCAGCTTTACACACACACACACACACACACACACACACACACACACACACACACACACACACACACAAAGCACAAAACTGTGGTCTTCTGTCAGAGTAATCTTCATCAGCCCCAATAATCTCCCAAGGTGTCTGGCGCCCTCTGCTGCACCCTACTGGTGGGGCTCTGTAACTGCCACCAGCTCTGCAACTGTGCAGCAGCAGCTTGTCTGAGGGAGCAAATCACACAATAAGCCCCTGCTGGATAACGAAGTCAAAATAAGTAAGGGGTGCTGTGAGAGGTGAACAGAGACGAGAAGATTTTAAAACAGGATGTGAGCTCAACACGGACTTTCCCTCGAGGGGATTCACAACAATGTAAAGCACAATTAAACACATAAAACAGATGGAAGAAAAGAAGAAAAGAAGGTAATATTTGAAGTTATTCTGCACCTTCTACATCCTTCTCCGGGGTAGTTTGAAATTTGAAAGAGAAAATTTATTTTCAGGAAATTAAAAATTATTATTATTTTCAGGAAAAAGAAATCAATAGAAAACGAAAAACAAAAAAAAAACTAATTTCAGTTTAGCTTTGGAATATTAATGTGAAACTGGCATCTATCATTAATGTTTGACATGCCCAGCCCCTCCCCCACTGGAAAAAGTGCCCATGCAAGTGACCAGAAGCTAGCTAAATACTGGCTGAACATTAAACCACGCTTGATGCTAAATTTACCCTGCCATGCAAAACACAACCACACATCAGTATCAGGAAAGAGGTAAAATAATAATAACGCAGTTTGAGACTTTGAACACAAATCATGAGAAAACTAGCCTTAAAAAGTATTTAAATACTATTTTTTGTTGTATCGCAATGGCAACACACCTTATTTAGAATGAAATAAACCATAATCTAGAGTTAAATACTTGTATGTAATCAAGAGGAGAATGCATGATAATGTAGTTGTAACAATATTCGGCGATGTCATACTGATGGTTTTATTAATTATGACGGTGAAGTAGAGACAGTAGAGAAGCAGTTTGCTGTAAGAGCGCAGACAGCATCTGTCTCAGCTGGATCGCTCTCTCGCACACACACATACACAAAGCAGTCTCTCCAAGTGCCCTCTCATCTCTCTGATCCAGTGTAATTAAGGCCCACAGCGATGGAGAGATTATGCTCTGTTTCCGAGTAAAAGGAAATGAGAACGAGAGCAAGAATCTAAGAATGAGAGTGAGAAAGATTGAAAGACAGAAAATGAAATAGATTTAGAGATAGAACTCAGAGTCAGATATACTGTAGATGAGGACAGCAGTTACATTTCAGACTTTTGCTCTGCGCCAGCGCTATTGTGTGTGCTCAAAGGTCGTCCGACCATCTTTCTCTCAACTTCCCCCATCAATCTATTCTCACTTCCTTGTTCTTGCTGTCTCTCTCATTCTGCAAGCCCCCTTGTCTAATCTGCTGTTCAGTTTCTAAACCGCTGCAGATGTCTGGACTACTTCACACAGTCACACTAACACCTCCGGCTGACAGTTTTTAATCTGTGTGTGTTTGTGTGCCCATGTGATGCAAATTGCTGATTATATCATGTATTTGTGCCAGCTAGCGTGCATAACCGTCTGCCGTATTACATGCGTTGTAGGCCGCCATGCACACACATTTTGACCACCAGTGCGTGCACGTTTTAAAGGAGCGTCCTTGCATGTCAACCAGGCATGTCAGTGAGTGAGTGAGGGGGGGTTCAAACCGCTTGTGGCATTAATAAAGCATAGCATGTTTTGATAGATGGCTGAGGAGATAGGAAGGAAGTGTGACCGTCTGTGCTCTGAGGGTGCAGAGCGAGAGATGTGATGAAGCAGAGAAGGGGAGGAATGATAAAATATGTTTTGGTGGAGGCACTTTAATCGAAACTGTGTTGACTTAGTGGGCTGAATATTTCTACTGCATATTTAAGTCATTCGCGTCCACCTGAAACTTTGGGAAAGCGCTCATACCCCTGACTTCAATCAATTTTTTAAAATCAAGTTAAAACTGTTTACTTTCATTTTTTTTTTGTCTGTGTGCAAAGTGGAACAATGCAAGCATCCAAAATAAAACCAGGATTGTTGGAAAAGCAGCGCTAAAAGTTCCATGCTATGCTTAACAGCAGTTGGGCAATACTAACGATGCTTTTCTCATTTTGGATGTTTGTTAAACGTGTATTCTTTTTTCGGCTTCCTTTTTTGTTTTGACCTTCTACATGAATAATTAAAAACAGCAGGACTTGCCATCCTAAGGTGACAGAAACTGTCAGCAAGCACTTCTGCTGAATGAGTCATGTTGGTCACAGGAAAAGTCTCCAACAAGCAGGCCTCTTTAAGCAGAAAGCTCAAATGACACCACTGTCATGATGCTGTCAAAAGATTTACAGATCTATGTCTTGTCTTCACTTTTCATTAACTTTGTTCACCTTAAATTCAATAACATTTTAAAATTCTTAAGTAATGAGACTTTTACGATGCTCTGTGATTTCTTGAGTTCAAGCTTTTTTTGTGGTACATTTATGTTATGATTGAAAATCTTTTCAATCTGAGTGTTTGGAATTTGGGGAATAAATTTAATATAACTTTTTGTATCTGCTTTTTCTCAGAGTAAACTCGGTCTAAGCCTTGAGAGAGAGTGAGAGAC